AGATAAGGTGAGTGCGAGAGGATGGTGGGTGACCTGTCTCTTATACACATCTAGATGTGTATAAGAGACAGCGAGAGAGAGAGAGAGAGAGAGAGAGAGAGGGGAGAGGAAGACGGAAATAGAGTGGAGCAAAGAGAGAGGGATGCAGCGAACGAAGAAGACACAAGTCTGAGGACGGCCAGAGAAGAATGTCCACGAGAAGCAAGAAAAGAGAAAGAGAGAGAGAGAGAGGAGGGGAGAGGGAGAGAGACAGGCAGACAGACAGACAGTAAGAGAAAGAAATCGAGGGAAGGAGGGAGAGAGGGAGAGAGGGAGAGAGACCAAGAAATCGAGGGAAAGAGAGAGAGAGAGAGAGAGAGAGAGAGAAAGAAGAGACAGAAGGTGAGGCAAAACTTGGAGATAGAAACCGAGAGAGAGAGAGAGGGGGAAACAGAGACCCTGGGGGAAGAACAGACAGAGAGAGAGAGAGAGAGAGACTGAGCGAACGAGAGACAGAACGGGAGGAGGGGAGTAACAGAAGTGGGATAAAGGGAATGAAGGAAAGAGGGCCGGAAAGGGGAAAGAGAGGGTAAAGCAGTTCGTGTGGCAGAGGGAAGAAGATGGGAGCACACGCACACACACACACACACACACACACAGAGGGAGAGAGAGAGAGAGAGAGAGAGAGAGAGTCACAGCCTGCTCATTCACAATCGTGACTGTCCGCCAGTGCTGAGACACGATCCGATTTCGATCGCGTGTGATACTTGAACACACTGATCGAATGGAGAGCGAGAGTGAGAGAGAGAGAGAGAGAGAGAGAGAGAGAGAGAGAGAGAGAGAGAGAGAGAGAGAGAGAGAGAGAGAGGCAGAGAGAGACGGAGGGCCATGCGTAGTATTACGAGCTTGTGCATTGCTCCAAGTTTGAGGATATGCCGAAAGAAGCGACAAGTGATCGAACGGAGAAGCGAGAGAGAGAGACAGATACAAATACAAGGAAATTAAGAAAGAAAGAGAGAAAGAGAGAGAGAGAGAGAGAGAGAGAGAGAGAGAGAGAGAGAGAGAGAGAGAGAGAGAGAGAGAGAGAGAGAGAGAGAGAGACGATGGCAATTGGCCAGAGGCTAAAAGAGACTCACCATCGGAAGCCAATTCAGGAGAAACGTCCGTCAAATGATGATCAACATAGAGAAATGGTAGATAGATACATAGATAGATAGATGGATCGACTCTCAGCAGGGAAAAAGAAAACGGTAGATCGATTGATTGATGAGTCATGTATGGATGGATTTGGAGAGTGGTGCAGCTCGACTTTGTCGTCCTTCACGCCGAAGTGGAATTTGGGAGAGCGGAAATGAGCGTTAAGGATTTCCCGACCAAATCGCCAAAATGAGCGTTAGGGATTCACAGTAATACTGTAAGAGAGAGAGAGAGAGAGACAACAAACTGTCTTACAGTAGAATCACCATCGAGTTTCCATCATCCGTCTGTACTCTCTCTCTCTCTCCCTCTCTCTCTCTCTCTCTCTCTCTCTCTCGATTAGCTCATTATTTCATGATCCATCCACTACGTCATCTACTAGCCTGCTCACTATTTGTCTATCCACTTTCCCATTTTGTTAATCCACCGCATTAAATATTATCCTCATCTCTCTCTCTCTCTCTCTCTCTCTCTCTCTCTCATACACACACACACACACAAACAAAATTAACGCTCTTACAGTAGTATCACCTTCGAGTTCTCTGGGCCTCGCTGCACTACTCTCGACATGCACGAAAGACAAAAATGTTGGCCCTGTATCTTTCCATATTCTAGCGGAAGATTCACTCTCGTTTTGCACATTTCGAGCTTAGTGCACCGAGGCTCTCTCTCTCTCTCTCTCTCTCTCTCTCTCTCTCTCTCTCTCTCTCTCTCTTAACGCCTAGCTTAACGATCGATCGACCTCGTCACCGATTTCTCTATCAACCTACTCATCAATTTCTCTGCCAACTTCTCTAGCTTGTTTATCTATCTCAATAAACATTTTTATCTTATCCACCAACCTGGTTGAATCTAGCTTCAAAATTGGCCCAAATCAGTCAGCCGGGCCAGCTGAACACCTCTCGAAATGCACCGACTTAGGGCCAGATCCCACTAGCCCCTATTATTCATTTCTGACCGTTGATCTTCGTAATCGAGGGTCAAAAATGAATACTCCAGGGTAGTGGGATCTGTCTGACCCTTAGGGCCTCGCTCCACTACTCTCCAAATGTGCAAAATGAGAGTGAATCTTCCACTAGAACATGGAAAGGTACATTGCCATCCTTTTTTTGTCTTTCGTGCATGTCGTCAGTCGTGGAGCGAGGCTCTTAGAGCGTACTCGCACAAGGACTTCTTTTTTTTTTTTCTTTTTTTTTTTTTTTGGGTTCAAATCTGCTCGCATGAGGACTTAGCTCGCTGCATCTGACGCAAGTTCTTTTTTTCTTCTTCTGGATGCATCTGACCGCCATTCCGGCCAGAGCTCAGTCGACAAACTGCGGTAGTGCGAGTACCCCTGGTTACACTACTCGCCATCCGCCAAGATTTCGAATGCATCTGGACAGAATGATGTCCACATGCAATCAAAATGTTGGCGGATGGCGAGTTGTGCGACGAGGCCCTGAGTACGCCCTTGTAGTATATTCCCTGGGCAAGGTCCCACTTGCCCAAATTAGGAGATTTGGGCTGTTGATCTTTGCGATCTACGGTCAGTATCTCTCAATTCGTGCAAGTGGGACCTAGCCCCCGATAAGCCCTACTACTACGGGCATATGCTCACACTACACACTACTGTAGGATTTTACAAGCTGCATCTGACCGGAATTACAGCCTGACCTGGATGTATCTGACGGCAATTACATCCAGATCCAGAGCTCACTTCCAAAACTCCGGGTGCGAATATGCTGTAATTATAGTAAGCCTTCGACTTTATATTCACTCCTCTACCCCCGCCTTCCTCCGAATAGAACGTACGGTCAGTATCTGCACTGAAACTTGGCCCAAATACAGCTATTATATTCCCCGTGCTGTATATTCGGGGCGAAGGCGGTTTCCTTCCTTCCCCTCGGCGCAAGTCCGCTTTCTGAGGGCAATACTCCCACTACTTTTTTTTTTTTTTTTTTTTGGTCTTCTCGACTCAGCTCTAGTCGTGATTGCAGTCAGATCCATCCAAGTTCCAATTCTGGCCGTCATTGCAATCAGGTACACATCAAACGAAGTGCTAGTGGGCTAGTGGGCCTCCGCACACTACTACACCACTCTTGAAACTGTCAAATGCAAAAATAAAAATAAAAAACTTTCAAAATATTAGGCAAAAAAAAAAAAAAAACTGTCAAATGTCAAATATATTCAAATGTTAGG